AACGCCCCCCCGGGGGGGGATGCTCACGCCGCAATCCCTTCTCCTCCAGTCTCCTCCCAGGATCTTGGGCACGCACACACACGCGCCCGGCGTGAGTTTTAAGCCACCGGGTCCGGGACACAAACCGCGGTCGACTACGTGGGAGTCCAGCGACATAGCCATTACGCTAACTGCTGGTTCCCTAAAAAAACTTTTTTAAAGAAAGTAATCTGCTCTCTAGAGTCACATCTGATAAACCTATCTTTATTCTTAGGAGACTGGAATACTGTTAGAAAGCCAACAGGAGTTTTTCTGAATGGTCGGAACCTGTATATGTCCGAAAGAGAACTAATTTTAAAAGATTATGATCTTGGGGCCCACGGGTGGTATGGTGGTTGAGGTGCTGGACTCCCACATGGCCGACCGCAGTTTGAGTCCTGGACTTGGCAGCTTGCTTTCTCACTTTTCCTCTTTCTCTCTCTCTCTCTGTCCCTCTCTGGTCAAATTAGAAAAAATAAAGTAAGTCTTTGAAAAAGAAATGATGATCTCAGATACTCTGGGTTCCTGAACTCCTGATGTTTTCTATACCTATATCTGTTTTGGGGAATTCTTTTGCTCTGAGTACCCTTTTATTCTGTTCTTCCCTGAAATTTTATTATTTAAATTTACCCGGACCAGGCAAATGCTACATACGTAGTATAGTGGAAGAGTCCAGAGAAGCAGAGTACGTTCTTTGTTCTTGGAGGAGTGTATGAGCAATGCTGATACGTGAGACGGTGATGCTGTAAGGCCATAACATTACTGCTAGACGGTGGGTGTGAGTAAAAGGATAGGGGTTGAATACGCGAAGTTCAGTGTTAGCTGGAGTGAACGCGTCGTTCATGGAGATGAAGTAGGTAGGACTTGAACTGGCAGGAGCTGAAGAGTTTATGGGTTAAAGGAGAGAGATTCTAAAAAGGAGTGTGAACATGAGCAGCTAAGTGCGTGGCATGTAAGCAGTTGGAAATTCAGGGCTGATCAGTGACAGACTAGCCCAGGGTGTGTGTGTGTGTGTGTGTGTGCATATACGCACACCTATATATGCATGTTTATGTGTGTATTTGCACACATCATATGTAGTATATATGAAGAGATTTCTGATCTTTTATGTATTTTTTTTTGTTTTTAAAAACATGCTTATTTAATTTTTATTTTATCATCATCGTCATTTTGTAATTTGCTACAGGGCATGTGTGCTCACCAGAGAGAGAGAGGGAAAGTGAGAAAGCAAGATGCCAGATCTGAGACTCAAATTATGGTCTGCCATGTGGGAGTCCAGTGCCTTGATCAGCATGCCACCTGCTGACCCCTCTTGTATATATGAAACTAGCTTGTACATAAATGCATATGTTGGATCAAAGTTAATTTTCCCAACCAATATCTTTTGTCGCCTTGGGAATGAATTAATCAGCATGCTATTCTTGCTAATTTTTGTAACAAGAGAAGTGCATGTGGGGGGACCTACTGGTGGCATGGTGGTTGGGGCGTTGGACACTCCCACATGGCCGACCAGGGTTCAAGTCCTGAATCTGGTGGCTTGCTTCCTCACTGCCCCTCTGTCTCACTCTCACCCTCTGTCTCTCTCTGGTCAAATTAAAAAAATAAGTGAATGAATAAATAAAATACAATAAGTAATTATTTAAAAAAAGGAAAACAAAAAGTGCATGTGGAAGATTAATTTCATGGGTGTTATAATCCTGCGTGTTTGCTGATAGGAACATGTTCCAGATGTGGCCTGTGCCCTTCTCGGCTCTGCCCTTCTCTTACAGCCTGTCACCCTTCCCTGCAGGCCGGGGTTTGAAGTCTCATGCCTACATTCACAGCGTCCAGTTCAGCCACCATGTCTTCCTCAACCTTCACACCCTCAAGTTTTATTGCCTTCCAGACAACTATGAGATCATCGATTCCTCACTGGAGGATATCACGGTGCGTCTAAGGGGGCGAGTCTGGGACCAGTCCTCCTGTGAGCCACCCCAGGGCTCCCTGGGAACCGTCCTGCTGCCTGAGCACAGGAAAGAACCCAGTCCCGTTGGGTTTGGTGAGGTGTCTTGGTAGGAACCGGGGAAACCAAGGGAGGAGGTCAGAATTCAGAATTGTGGCCTATAGTCTGCAATGAAGCTGTCTTTTCTGCTCTATCATTGAGGACTAGGACCGAAAAATTGGGGCTTCTTTCTAATTGGGGTTCAAGTGTGGCGAAGTAGGGATGTGAGTTGGGCCTGGCATGGGACAGTGGGGCTCAAGCTGCACACCAGCTCCTAGCTAGTTTTGACACGATGTGGCCAGAGCAGGCAATGTGTCCCATCTGTGGGTCCACATATGTGACCTGTACCACAGTGCAGTTCACGGGAAGTCCTCCAGGGCTTTGTGTACTGATGCACTGTAGCTGCTTATTTTCATTTTCAGTGAGTGGGTGTATTTTCATACTTACAGAGGGCTCTGTTTATTTTTACGGAACACTTGGTGTTCAGAGTCTTTGATATACTCCTTATGCTGCTTTTAAAAAATATATATAATTTATTTATCTATTTGTTGTGATTTTCAAGCCGCCAGGTCTGGCACTCGAACCATGGCTGACCACGTGGGAATCCAGCAACTCAAGCATCACACCACCTGCTGCCTCTGCTTATGCTACTTTTAAAAAATTTATAGACCTAGAATTGAGATTAAAACAGCTGTGGGCAGTGGCCTGCAAGTGGCACGGTGGTTTAAGAGCTGGACTCTCACATGGCTGACCGTGGTGTGCATGGTTTGAGTCCTGGACCTGGTGGCTTGCTTTCTCATTTTCTGTCTCTCTCTCACTTTCCCTAGTCAAATTAAAACAAATAATAATAATAAGTAAAGTTAAATAAAAATAATTCTTAAAAAACAAAACAAAACAAAACCAACAGTCGTGGCATTACAGATGCTCCTCTATTTTTGGTGGGTTGCATCCCAGTAAAACTCATTGTAAATTGAAAACACCAGTGCCCTGCCATGAACCTGTCATAAAGTAAAATTTTAACTTGACCCATTGTAACCAGGGACCATCTGTATTTACAGAGGGAGAAATGAATCAATTTTAAGGTTTCAGAGTGAGCTCAGTATGACCTCTGTCTAATCTGTGACTCGAGAGCTTTCTTAGCTCTGTCACTAGGACGATTCCGATCTTTGTCCTCTGGTCCAGGGAGACTGGAGATCCTCAGTCCTGCCCAGAGGGGAGGAGGCTGCCTTGCTCCTGAGCTAGCATCCCAGGTGACATTCCCCCCAGGACTCAGGCGCCTGCTGCCTTGAGGGACTTGGGCACCCTGCGATTCCTAGCAGTTGTTTATCATAGAGTTGGGAAGACCCGAGGTCCGAAGGGGGACCCAGGTGTAGCGATTTGGAATTAAGTGCAGAGATCCCTTTAGAGATGAGTAGCGTGGAGAGGACCTGCCCCTGTCCCGTGACACTTCGGTCTTTATTCCTGTTGGTTGGGGACAGTTTTTGAGTGTGTAGTGGGCTGCTCATGACCTAGGTGTTTTCTGTGTTCTGCAGCAAGTGCCGTCCAGACATTTCTTGCGAACCCTGTTTACAGCTCTGAAGTAACGTAGCATTTTCTTGGCTTCACAGTATGTGTTGAAACCCACTTTCACAAAGCAGCAAATTGCAAACTTGGACAAGCAAGCCAAACTGTCCCGGGCATATGATGGTACCACTTACCTGCCGGGTATCGTGGGACTGAACAACATAAAGGCCAACGACTATGCCAACGCTGTCCTTCAGGTAGGGTGGAGATGGGAACAGAGGGCGACCTGGAAACAGTGCGAATGTCGGGACCAGCAGTTAGCGTAATGGCTATGTCTCTGGACTCCCACGTAGTCAACCGTGGGTCGAGTCCCGACCCGGTGGCTTAAACTCACGCTGGGCGTGTGTGCGTGTGTGCCCAAGATCTCGAGAGGAGAATGGAGGAGAAGGGATTGCGGCGTGACCATCCCCCCTGGGGGGGTGATTTCTCGCTTTCTATCTCTCTGTCTCTGTCTGTCTGGCGAGCGCACGCGCCCTATAGCAAAAACCTCTCCAAAAAAAAAACAAAACAAAACAAAAAACAGTGCGAATGTCAGCCAAGAAACCATTGCTTCTCGTGAGTTAGTCGGGTGGTCCCAGGCCCCGAGTCCTGCTGGGGACTGTACTTGAGTATTTGCTCTGCAACAAGCAGAAGGTGCTCCTGTCAGGTGATCAGGTATTTTCTAGCCTGTGGAGGTTCCAGAGGCCGAAGAATAGGGTCTGTGCTGCCTGGCAATAGCAAAGAAGAAACACGCTGGATGTATTTAAGCAATATCTGCTACAGGGCGTGTGTACTTGCCAGAGAGAAAGGGAAAGCCCCCCCACCCCCAGCCCTTAGGGATGGCCATGTCAGTCCCTTCTCCGTTCTCCTTTTGGGGTTTTGGGCACACAGGCACATGTGCTCGGTGTGTTGCATGCTGTGGGGCCTGGGCCTCGCCCAGCAGCCAGCCATGTGGGCCCAGTGTCACCGCAGCACCAGCTGGACCAGCATTGCCTCGTTAGTCTAGTTGTGCACTGTGCTGCTCTCTGATGTCTTGTTCCTGCCCGCTTGCTAATACCCGAAAATGGGAAGGTAGACAGTGAAACTTCTGTTTTTAATTAAAAGTTGTTCTTTTTAAATACACATATAAGGGACCAGCAGATGGCGTAATGGCTACATCACTGGAATCCCATGTAGTCGACTATGGTTTGAGTCCTAGACCCGGTGGCTTAAACTCATGCCGTGCGTGCCTGCGTGCCCAAGATCCCAAGAGGGGAATGGAGGAGGAGGGATCCCCCAGGGGGGCGATTTCTCGCTCTCTGTCTCTGACGAGCATTCGCGCCCTATAGCAAAAACTTCTCCAAAAAAAAAAAAGAATGAATAAATAAATACAAAAGTAATATTGCATATTGTGGGACAGTTAGAAAATGTTGATAAGCACAAGTAAGGAAGTAAACAGTAACCTTATTCCACTAAAAAAAGCTAATTCAAATAAGTAAATAAATAAAAATATAGAAGGCCAGCCAGTTGCATTGTGGTTAAGGTGGCTGGATCCCACATGGTGGCCGTGGTTCAAGTCCCGGACCCAGCAGCTTATATAACATGCCGGGTACATATACATGTGCAAAATCCCAGGAGGAGAAAGGATTGTGGCGGCGTGGCCATTCCCCTTAGGGGGTGATTTCTCCCTTTCTCTCTCTTTGTCTGTCTTTGGTGAGCACACATGCCCTATAGCAAAACTAAAACAAACCAATATCTGTCATGTGACAACATCATGATTTATTTTCCCATTCCCCGATTAATTGACTCAATTTAATGGTTCATGTTTTTTTGCCTATTGTCAGTACTACAGTGAGTATTTTTCTTTCACTTTTTGTAATACTGTTTCATTTTGTTATATTTCTTCCTCTTCTTAAATTTTTTTTTTAAGAGAGATTTTTGCTATAGGGCATGTGTGTTTGCCAGCGGCAAAGAGACAGAGAGACAGAAAGTGAGAGATCACTCCCCCCGGGGGAGGGCCAAGCCACAGTCCCTTCTCTTCCATTCTCTTCTCAGGATCTTGGGGAAGCATGTACACACGCCTGACGTGAGTGGTTGTTTTTTTTTCTCTTTTTAAAAAGAATTATTTAACTTTACTTATTGTTATTTTCCAGTTTCATCAGAGGGAGTCAGTGAGAAAGCAAGCCACCAGGTCCAGGACTTGAACCATGGTCGCCCATGTGGGAGTCCAGCACCTTTAATCACCATGCCACCTTTTGGCCCCTTGGCGTGAATTTCAAGTCACTGGGTCCAGACTGCATGGGAGTCCAGTGACGTAACCATCATGCCATCTGCAGGTCCCTCCTTTCCGGACTTTTAGAAGAAATTTAATTGGGCCAGCTGGTGGCATGGTGGTTAAGGTGGCTGGATCCCACATGGCTGACAGGAGTTATAGGCCTGGCAGCTTGAGAAACACACAGCGTACGCATGTCTATGTCCAAAATCCCAAAAAGAGAAAGGGAAAAGAAGGGATTGTAGCGTGACTGTGCTCCAATGGGGGTGTTTTGTCACTTTCTTTCTCTCTCCCCTTCTCTGTCTAGCAAGTGTATGCATCCTTTAGCAAATTAAAAACATTTAAGTAAAATATACATAATTACTTACAAAGTAGCATAATATACAAGTATCTCTGCCTGTTATAAAAGCATCTTTTGAAATAAGTACCTTCTGCAGTATCCTTAGTGATTTTGTGTAATTCTTTGCAATCTGTGCATCAGTTGATTTACTTAACCCCGCATATTCTAATGTTGATTCTCTGGGGTGTTCCTAGCAATTTACAGAGTAATATGGTCATATGTAACGTGAACTCTGAGTAGGCTTCTCTGAGGATCCATTTACTTCTCACTGTCTAAGGCACATCCCGGGCTTTTGTTAGAGGAACTTGGTTGGAAGATCTTTGCTCTGAGTGGTCCTGCAGAAAGGCTTTGGATTCATCATGGTGTTTGGTTCCTAGGCTCTGTCTAATGTCCCTCCTCTCCGGAACTACTTTCTGGAGGAAGACAATTATAAGAATATCAAGCGTCCTCCAGGGGATATCATGTTCTTGTTGGTCCAACGTTTTGGAGAGCTGATGAGGAAGCTCTGGAACCCTCGAAATTTCAAGGCTCATGTGTCTCCCCATGAGATGCTTCAGGCTGTTGTCCTTTGCAGCAAGAAGACTTTCCAGATCACCAAGCAAGGTAAGGGACAAGTCATTCACGGTTCTAGTCTGCAGATCAACGTTGTTTCCACTCTGCGCTGTCTTGCTCTCTGCCAGGAGTGTCCAGAGAATTGGGCGGTTAGGCTCCTCACTCCTGTTGGTCAGCCTGCCCATCTTGCTGTAAGTGAGGCTGGGTGGTCGGGGGAACACCAGGAGGCGGGAAGGGCACTCACTGCTCTCGATCTGTGTGGCTCGTTTTGTCATGGTCCGCCCTAGGGTCCTGGTGAAGTGTTGTAACCATTTTCGTCTCTATTCCTGGATCTCCTGACTTAGCCTCTAGCTCCCACATCACTTACTCACATTCACGATGGTAGGTTTTAGAGCTGCAGTGATCCGATGCCTGATTTGTTTCTCCGCAGAGCTAGTGGGAAGGCAGTTATGTAAAATGGGGACCCGTGGTGTGGGCGCTGTGAGGAGGAGCAGAGGATGCTGTGGGAGGGAGCTCGAATGGCTGCGAGGTCGAGGTCAGAGTGGAGGAAGAGATCCCTGAGTGTAGGTATGGGAGGAGGCAGGTTGGGAGTGGTATTCTGGTTCGAGAGGAGCCTGGGCAGAAATGTGGAGGCCCTTGGTGCAGACAGGGACTATCAGTAGCTGGGAGGGGCCAGCTTGCCCAGTGTCTCGGCCACTGTGAGGAGCTCGGACTCTCGGACTGTGTCCCGGCAGCATTGAGAGTCACTGAGAGCTTTAAAGCAAAGACATGACTTCACATTTGTTCTTGAAGCATCATCTGAGGAAGAGCTTACAGGGGGACGTTCAGTAGTGGCTTTTTAGAGTCTCAAGTACTTAATGAAAGGAGAAATAGAAGGAATCGATGTAGGTAAGGAGTGGGATCCAGGAGGCTCTTGGAGTTTTAGGAAATAGGGTACTTTTTTTTTTTTTTTTTTTGAGAGAGATTTTTACCATAGGGTATGTGCGCTCACTAGAGAGACAGAGATAGTAAGAAATCACCCTCTGGGGGGATGGCCACATTGTAATCCATTCTCCTCTTGGGATTTTGGGCACCCACGCACATGCGCCTAGCATGTTTCAAGCCGCTGGGTCTGGGACTCAAACCATGATTGATCATGTGGGAGTTCAGCACCTTAACCACTGCGCCACCTGCTGGCCTGGGTACACTGTATGTTGATGAGCTGTATTGAGAAACCTCATGCTGTATTTCCAAATAAGAAGTTACTAAGCTGTTGGACAGTAGTTTGGAAGAGTAAGCACTTGACGTTGAGTGCCTGCATTTCATGGTTAGAGGGGGTGCACAGGGGATGGGGTGTTGTGGCCAGAGAGGAGGGAGGAAGGCCAGGAGTGTGGCGTCCAGCCTGTCAGGTGAGGTTCGGGTTATTCCAGTGCCTCCCAGTTCCAACGTGTCCACCTTCCTTCTTCCCTAGGGGATGGAGTAGACTTTCTGTCTTGGTTTCTGAATGCTCTGCACTCGGCCCTGGGAGGCACAAAGAAGAAAAAGAAGAGTAAGTCTCATTACTTGTAAAAAGTAACTCCTTTTTTGTTTGCTCCCTTTTTAAAAACTTTGTGACTGCCCATCCTTCTGTTCTAATTGTTGCTATTTTGGGGGCGGAGTAGGGAGTATAGGGATGGAGGTTGTATTTCTTGTGTACACAGGCCAAATCTTTCCTGAGTAAGCCCATGGTATTTTTTTTGTAGGATATGGTTATATTCCCAATGACATTTTTTTTTCAAATGCAAGAGGATGTTTGTGCACATTAGAGAGTGAGACAGAGAGAGACTGGGACTGGTCATGCTGCAGTCTTTTTTCTTCCAGTTCTCCAACCTGACAGTATCGGATGCATTTCTGGTGTGAAGCGACAGGTCCGAGACTTGAACCACAGCCATGTGGGATCAGACTTTCTCTGCACAATGCCTAACTATGGTGCTACAGGATTAGCCCTCCCAATGGCATCTTTTTCTTTCTTTATGATAGGAAGCATTGTACACACTTGAGGAAGAATGATGGCACCCTCCCCAGGGCCTGGTCACGCTGTGATCCCCCTCCAGCCTGAGGGGGCACTTGCATGCATACATTTCCTGAGTACTGCAGGCCAACAGGACCAGGGGTTTAGTTAGACCTTAGTCCTATGTGAGATCCGGCTTCCCTTGAGCAGAGCATTTCTACTGTGCCACGGAGCTGGCCCCCAGTGGCTTTTTTTTTTTTTTTTTCTTTTTTAGGATTTTGTCACAGGGCTTGTGCACTTATCCAGGAGAGAGAGGAGAGAAAGTGAGAAATCACCCCCCCCGGGGAGTTGGCCATGCTACAGTCCCTTCTCCTCCCTTCTCTCAGGATTTTGGGCATGCATGTACACACACCTGGTGTGATTTTCAAGCCACCTGGTTGGTCGAGGACTCAAACCACAGTCGACCATGTGGGAATCCAGCGGCTTAACCATCCTGCCACGTGCTGGTCCCCCTCAGTGGCATTTTAAGGAAAAGGAATAGATATACTTGGGCCCTTGGAATTTGGACCCAGGTTCAAACTGAGGGCTGGGTGGCATTTACAGACTCCTAGTGTCCTGCAGCAGAAGAACTCATGTGGGAAGGACTTTGTGGGTGGTTGGTTGGCTTGGAAGTTGAAGGTTAGAGCTGACCACAGCTAGTTCTTCACCCTGTCTCTGCTTGGAGGGTGAGGCTGGCTTTCTCCAGCTTCTCAGACTTGAGCCCGCTGTCCTTCCGCATCCCTCTCAGTAGTGCTGAGACATCCTTCATGAACACAGTTCATGAACGCACCTTAACCACAGAGCTGCGCAGGTCACTCAGAGACCCAGTGCCGTTTTCTTGTTTTGGCCCTGCCCCTTCTACCAGGTGTCCTCAGCCCCTGCCCCTTCTCCGAGTTCTCCATCCTGTGTCCTGGCGGGATTCTGGGACAGTTCTGCTTTCTGTCTTATTGATTTGATTTTATTCTGGTCCATCTCTCTTAGTCTGTCATTTCCCTTTTATGTCCAGTGCAGGCTGGACGTGGTCCCCCCGCTGCAGGCTGCATGTAATTGCAGGAAATTCCTGGACTATGCCCTGTTTTGTTTGTGAATTTTTTGTGATTCATGTATGTTCAGTAACTCATTTATTTATTTCAAATGCACTTACTTTTTCTCTTAATGGCCTAGACCCTGTGTTGGAGGGTCAAATTGTGTCCTGTGGAGGGATGCAGAATGATAATTTATATAATTACCAAGGTTCTATGAGGGTATATATTACAGAGGGAAGCTTCTACATTTGCTGGGAGCTTTAGGTCTGGAAGTTGTGCTGGAAGATGCTGGTTTATTGCAAAATTGTTGCATTCCAATCTCACAGAGTTTGTGTTTTGCTTTCTCTTCGAGCAGCTATTGTCACCGATGTTTTCCAGGGGTCCATGAGGATTTTCACTAAGAAGCTTCCCCATCCTGATTTGGTGAGTGGGGTGGGCCTGGGTCTTGGGCTGATTTTTGTTGCCTTAGAGGGTTTAGGGGAAATGAAGAGTTGCTTGGGGACCTGACAGGGCCACCTGCACTGTGGGAAGGTTTTGCAGAGCACCTGCCAAGTGGCAGTCCCCTGGGTCCTGGAGGTGCAGTAGGCCTAAGTTAGGGGTCTGTGGAGGGTCTTGGTCTGCTGGTTCAAGTGTTGGCCACTAGGTGGTGCTGGCGTGGTTTTTAGAAAGCTCAGCTTAGCTTACTAGATCTTCCGAGAGCTTTTTAGCTAGTCTGGTATTTAAGCAAAGTCTGAAGAAGAAAACCCATCGTTTCTTTGACCTAGCGAGGTTGTTCTGCTGCACATGAAACTGCCCATCCCCGGGGCCCCTGTCTTCATTGTCTCCCGATGAAGGAATGGTCAGGCTAACAGCATTGCTTCTCTCCGTCCGTCCTGGTCTCTGAGCTCTGCACACAATCCTCCTCCTCCCACTCATTTCTAGCCAGCGGAGGAGAAAGAGCAGCTCCTGCATAATGACGAGTACCAGGAGACCATGGTGGAGTCCACCTTCATGTACCTGACGCTGGACCTGCCCACCGCCCCCCTCTATAAGGACGAGAAGGAGCAGCTCATCATCCCCCAGGTGCCCCTCTTCAACATCCTGGCCAAGTTCAACGGCATCACCGAGAAGGTAGCCCACCTGCTCAGCCGCCTGCTCATTCCGCCTTGGCTCTCTCTTAAACTTTTCTGTTTTTGTGCTTGAGACTCATGATATGCATGTGTTTATCATGAAGTGTGTTTCCTTTATGGAGCCTCCGGGACTTCTGGCTGCTCACTGCCAGCTCAGTGCCCTCTCTGTATTTCTCCTGCATCTCTTTTAGCCTTCTGGCTGTCTCTCGGGTGGTGTAGAGAAAGGAGGCGGAATTATGACAGTAGAACTCCAGAAAGTAGAAAAGCTCTCGCGTTTGGGACCAGCAGGTGGCGTAATGGTTATGTCGCTGGACTCCCACATAGTTGACTGCAGTTCAAGTCCTGGACCATGCTGGGCACATGTGCATCTGTGCCCAACATTCTAGGAGGAGAAGGGATTACAGCGTGGCCGTCCGCTCCGGAGGGTGATTTCTCACTTTCTGTCTATCTCTGTCTCTCCAGCAAGCATGCACGTCCTATAGCAAGCATCCCCTTAAAAAAAAGGAAAAGAAAAAACTCTCATGTTTAAAAGTTGCTCCAGTGCCTCCTAAACTTTAGCACAGAACTGATAACTTCCTGTTCTCTCTCTAGGAATACAAGACTTACAAGGAGAACTTTCTAAAGCGATTCCAGCTCACCAAGCTCCCTCCATATTTAATCTTTTGTATCAAGAGATTCACTAAGAACAACTTCTTCGTGGAGAAGAACCCAACAATCGTCAACTTCCCTATCACGTGAGTGTCCTCCTGTTTCATTTCCCCTTGGGGTGGGGTGAGCCTGGATTTCTTTGTAATGTTTATTGTGTTCTTTCATGAGAGAGCACGAGTGGGTGAGAGAGAGAGAAAGAGAGTGAGCGAGCGCTCTGGGCAGCCTTGACAGGGTCTGTCACACCGCCATCCCCTTCCTCCCGCCCTCCAGCTCTTCAGGGTCTTAGGCACATGCCCACGGCCACGCGAGAGGCCACGTGAGACCCAGAGCCTTAGCTCCTCTGCCACCTGCTGGCCTGGCTTTCAGTTCTTAAGAGACAAGATTTCTTCACTCTGAAGATGATGTCTGTGAGAATCTGGAGAACCCTGGTGGCAGGAAGGAAGTGGGTCTCAGTGTGCTGTTGTTCAGACAGGGAGGCAGCCCTGAGACAGTTCATTAATAGGTGGACTTGGGGGGGTAGTTGATATTTAGCTCAATCATCTTTTCAGTTAAAAACTTTTTAGACTCTAATTTTTTAAACCATCATAGGCGGTTTGGAAACCATAGTGGATAAATGCCCATCTCCTTTTTTCTTTCTCCCACCATCCACTTCCATTTCCCAGTTCCTTAGATTATACCAGGACTGACAACCAGCAGTTAGCGTAATGGCTATGTCGTTGGACTCCCATGTAGCCGACTGTGATTTGAGTCCTGGACCCAGTGGCTTAAACGTATGCCAGGCACATGTGCGTGCGTGCCAAAGATCCCAAGAGGAGAACGGAGGAGAAGGGATTGCAGCGTGGCCATCCCCCCTGGGGGGTGATTTCTCGCTTTCTGTCTCTCTGTCTCTCTCTTTCTGGCGAGCACAAGTGCCCTATAGCAAAAACCTCTCCCAAAAAAATAAATAAATAAAAAGATTATACTAGGACTGCCAGTGTTCTCTTCTGAAAACAGTTCTAATTCCTAATTCTGCGTCGTGTTTAAAAGAGTAGTATCTACAATGAGGAGGCCTGAGGGGGCCAAACAATGGCACAGTGGTAAAACACCATGCCGTGTGAGGCAGCCCCAAGGGGAGGTCCCTGGTTCAAATCCAGAGACCTCCCTGAGTGTACCAGGCACGCATTCCCCTGAGCTGATCTGAGCTGGCGTAAGTAAAGGTGGGCCATGCTGTCAGGACCCTGTGGGCATGCCGTCTTAGTCTCTTCTCTGTCTCTGTCTCTCTCATGGAAGAAATAAATAGACCCCAAAAAAAGAGGCTTGAGTTTTGGGCTGTGCTATGGGTGTGAGCTTGGACTGGTGGTCTGTTTTCTGGATCATTCTCTGATGGATAAAATGAGAGACTTGGACTAGATGAGCCTTCAGGGTCCTTCCAGATCTAACTGCCTCTGGATGCTGTGATTGCTGGGCGTCGGAGAGCAGAGGGGAGTGAGAACCTGGTAACGAGGGTTGAAGGAGAAACTCCTTTCTTGTGACAGTTTTTCTTCACTAGCGTCTTGGTGATGTGGTGTGTAGAGTGAGAGGGGACTGCCCTACCTTGAGCAGGACCACAGAGGTGCTTTCCTTGACAACCCCAAGTCTTAGCGCCACTTAGAGCTGGCGCCTTGTGGATTGCCCGCGGCACGACGTGTTCCTGGTCGGGAGGAGTGGCCTCGACCCCAAGGGCAGCTCCGGGGAGGAAGACCGTGTCCATGGCAGTTCCTGCCCAGCCGCCACGGAAGCGCCCTCATCCCGTTGGACTGCTTTCTTTTATGTTGGGCCTGGAGTGGGTTTACTTTCCCTTGAGGTATATTGGGAGTTTTGGGAACTCCGACTTTAGCAGCGTGTCCTTCAAATGTTTGCTTTGAAGAAGTTAGGGGAAAGGTTACTGCGTACGTAGCTCGTTGGTCCTGCAGGAACATTGTCTGTGACTAATTCTGGAAACCTGCCTGTTATGCTCTCTAAGCACGTCCGGAGAAATGTGGTTCTCGATTCTCTAACTGTCCCCTACTTCTCGAAAAGGACCCTTTCAGTGCCTGAATCTTTTCCCGTTCCCCTGTAATACATCTTTGGTCAGTTTCTAGCCTGGTGGTGGCTAGGTGCCTTCTGCTCATTGGGAGGTAGGGCGTCTTGGGGGTAGGCGTAGTCTCACTTACAGCTAACTAGTCATTCTCTGAGTTGAACTGTTCTGGCTGGCGGATGAATATAGTTTGTTCCTTTGCCTATTTTCTAAAACAAAATGATTTCGCCAGCTGGTGGCTGTTGGCTAAGGTGACTGGATCCCACTTGGCTGATCGTGTGGTTCAAGTCCCAGATCTGGCAGCTTGCAAAACACACTGGGTGCATGTACTTGCGTGCTCAAAATCACCGGAAGAGAGTAGAGGGGAAGCGGTTATGTTGTGGCCCTCCCCCTGGAGGGGCGCTTTCTCACCTTATCTGGTGAGCATAGTAACCTATTAATTGAAATAAGTAAATGAAATGGCTAAACATGTACGTACATATTTATTTCTTTTTGCCCTTTGAACAGTTTGTATTTAGTCATCATGTTTGTAGTATAAACATTCCTCAAGGCTTTTCTAGGAAGCAGTCTAGCAGGTCTGGAAAGCTGTAGTCTAAGCCAAAGAGAAAATAACAGAAGTCTGGGGGCCAGCAGGTGGCAAGGTGGCTAAGGACACTGGACTCCCACATGACTGACCATGGTTCGAGTCCCGGACCTGGTGACTTACTTTCTCACTTTCTCTCCTGCTTGTTCTGTCTCTCTTTGATCAAATTTTAAAAATAAATAAAGTTAAATAAAATAATTATTAAAAAAAAAAAAGAAAGAAAAGAACAGGGGACCAGCAGTTGGTGTAATGGCTATGCCGCTGGACTCCCATGTAGTCGACCGTGGTTTGAGTCCCAGACCCAGTGGCTTAAACTCATGCGGGGCACATGTGCGTGCGTGCCCAGTATCCCAATAGTGAAGTTATTACTGTCTAACTCTGTCACATGTCACACTGTCAGTGGGAACAAATAGCTATCATGAACACCCAGAAAGCTATGTGAAATAATTAGAACAAAGTTGCAAGCTTGATTACTACTGCATGGTATTCGTTTAGAACGCTTCGTATTTTGGAACAGTTAGGACATTCACATTAAGTCCATATATAGAGTCAAAGGAAGGCATACAACTGGACAGGGAGGACATTAGCAAGTCCTTTCAGAGGTGACATTATTGTTTTTTGTTTTTTATTTTTGAGAGATTTTTGCTATAGGGCGTGTGTGTTTGCCAGAGAGACAGAAGGTGAGAAATCACCCTCCTGGGGGATGGTCACACCATATTCCTTTCTCCTCCATTCTCCTCATGGGATCTTGGGCACGCACGCACACGTGCCAGCGTGAGTTTAAGCCACCGGGGCCAGGACTCAAACCACAGTCGACTACATGGGAGTCGAGAGACATAGCCATTACGCCAACTACTGGTCCCTGTTGTGTTTTGTTTTACGAGTGAAGCACATCACATGTTTTACAGGGATGAGGAATGTGATATAACTTCCTTATTTTACATTACTTAGATTTTTCTAAGTATAGACTCTAAAATAGTATTTTTCCTAAAACTATGTAGTTAACATATTCTCTCACCTTTTTTTAAAGAATTATTTTATTTATTCATTCATTTATTTTAATTTGACCACAGAGAGACACAGAGAGAGAGGGAAAGTGAGAGCAAGCCACCAGATCCAGGACTCGAACCATGGTCGGCCATGTGGGAGTGTCCATCATGCCACCTGCTGGTCCCTCTCTCACTATTTTTTAATGATTTACTTAATTTTATTTATTTATTTATTATTATTTTAATTTGCCATAGGGCACATGCACTCACCGGAGAGAGAGAGAAAGTGAGAAAGCAAGCTTCCAGGTCTGGGACTTGAATTACAGTCAGCCATGTGAGAGTCCAGCATGCCAACCACCATGCTATCTGATGGCCCCTATATTCTCTTACTATTTCTTGTTAGCTGTCAGTCTGTTCCCTATTTAATTATCTAGTAATTGCTTCTCAGTAAGCATTTATTATGGCACTTGGCTTTGCAGTAGTAGGTATAGATTTTAGATCTTATCCAGTAGATAAAGTTCAGCACCTAAAATGAGATTTTGGGGCCTGCAGGTGGCATAGTGGTTAAGGTGGTGGATTCTACATGGCCGATGGTAGTTTGAGTCTCAGACCCGGTGGTTTGAAATTGTGCCAGGCATGTGTGTGTGGCCAAAATCCCAAGAGGAGAATGGAGGAGAAGGGATTGCAGCATGGCCATCCTCCCTGGGGGATGATTTCTCACTTTCCCTCTCTGTTTTTCTCTGTCTCTGGCAAGTATAAACATGCTATGACAAAAAAAAACCCTAAAAAGACCAACAAAAAACACAGAAGATTTTATTCTGGTACATCAAGAATGCTTCTTGGTATTTGAAAGTAAATAAATATTCGTAAACAATATTTTAAAAATTTTTTGGAGAGGTTTTTGCTATAGGACGTGTACGTTTACCAGACAGACAGAGACAGAAAGAAAGAAGGCGAGAAATCACCTCCCAGGGGGTATGGCTATGCCGCATGCAGTCCCTTCTCCATTCTTCTCTTGGGATCTTGGGCACGCACACACACCCGCTTGGCGTGAGTTTTAAGCCAGTGGGTCCAGGACTTGAACCGTGGTCAACTACATGGGAGTCCAGCGACATAGCCATTACGCCAGCTGCTGATCCCAAAGATATTGAAAGTAAATCTAATACTTCCAAGTTCTAGTTGAAGGGACCTAGTCAGTAGTGTCTTTTAGCAGTAAGAACTGAGAAATTTGGAAGCCGTGGTGTAGCCAAGTTTCAGTCACATGAAGAAGAGAAAGCCAGGGTCCCAAATGAGGGGGAAGAATAAAGCAGAAGGAGGTGGAAGAGAGGGCAAGAAGTGCTCCCGGATCCTGTAGTGCCTGGTTCCAGCTCCATTTCCTGGTCTGAAAATCCTGACTAAATTCTTGCTTAGTGCTTAAGCTCACTCGAGAGGGTTCTGTTCCTCGGAACCATTCTGCCATTTACTTGACAAAAAGAAAAACAGATCAGGAAGCAAGCATGCAGAAAAGAAAAGGAAGATTTGTTAGACTGAGACTTAGTCACGTGGCCAGGCCTAAGGCCAGAGCGCAAGTGCTCACCACCCTGCCCAGGCGGACCTTGGGAAAGGCAGTGGGTAAGAAAGGTGGGCACCTGCTCCTCCCTGTCTCAGAGACGGTGACTCTCGTGCCCCCATCGTACGGGAGGCTCCAGTCGGCTGCTTAAGCTCACACACGGCTCTGAAGTGGCAGAGCCGGGATTCTAGTTCAGGTCAGAATGAGGCCAGTCCTGCACTTTTGACTTGTAGTCCTACTTTTTTTTAAAAAAAGGTTTTTGCCACAGGGTGTGTGTGCATGTCTGAGAGAAACACAGAGACAGTGAGAGGGGAACTGGGAAATCATCCCCCAGGGTTGATGGCCATGCTGCAGTCCCTTCTCCTCCATTCTCCTCCTGGGATTTCGGGTACTCACACATGCTCCGGGTGAGATTTTCAAGCCTCTGGGACCAGGACTTGAACTGCACTTGGCCATATTGGAGTCCAGCGCCATAACCACTATGCCATCTGCTGGCCCCTGTTAGTCCTACTTTTTAAAGGAAAGTGCTTTTCCCATAGAGCCTATCATTCTTTTTTTTTTTTTTTAAATTTGTTTATTATTTTAATTTGACCAGAGAGGGACAAAGCAAGAGCTAGAGAGTGAGAGAGAGGGAAAGTGAGAAAGCAAGCCCTGGGACTCAAACCGTGGTCGGCCATGTGGGAGTCTAGTGTCCTTAACCACCATGCCACCTGCCGGCCCCTCATTCTTTTTTTTTAAAGAGGTTTTTGCCTTAGGGCTTGTGCACTTGCCGGAGAGAGATAGAGACAGCAGAGAGAGAGATAAGGACAGCAAGAGGGAAAGTAAGAATTCTCCTCCCGGGATCTTGGGTACACACACACACACACACACACACACACACACACACACACCCCTGGCATGATTTTCAAGCCACTGGGTTTGGGACTCGAACTGCAGTCGGCCACATGGGAGTCCAGTGATATAACTGCAACACCATCTGCTGCTGGCTCGAGCCTGTCATTCTTGTTCCTTGTCTCTGCAAGGCTGCCCATAGCTGGAGTCTCAAGATAGTTTCCCTAACCTCAGCCTTTCTCTGATGTTTTGGCTTTGTTTCCATCATCACCAGAAATGTGGACCTGAGAGAATACTTGTCAGAAGAAGTACAAGCCGTGCATAAGAACACCACCTACGACCTCATCGCCAACATCGTGCACGACGGGAAGCCCTCTGAGGGCTCCTACCGGATCCACGTGCTTCATCATGTGAGTGCGTGACTGTCCCATGGCACAGAGTGGCACAGACTGGTGTTACACCTTTGGCATTTCAGAGCGTAGCTCCCTTCACTTCACCCTCAGCTTCTGGCTCTGCCAAGTGTTAGGGTTAGTTTAAGCCAGTGGTTCTTGGGACCAGCAGAAGGCGTAACGGTTATGTCACTGGACTCCCATGTAGGTAACCATGGATTGAGTCCCAGACCCAGCGACCTAAAACTTATGCCAGACGTGTGTGTGTGTGTGTGTGTGTGTGTATGCGTGCATGCATGCTCAAGATCCTGAGAGGAGAATGGAGGAAAAAGGACTGAAGTGTGGCCATCCGCCCTGAAGGGTGATTTCTCACTTTCTGGCTCTGTCTCTCCAATGGCGCATGTGTCCTATTAAAAAAAAAAAACTCTCAAAAAAAAAAAAAAAAAGACTGGTTCTCAGTTTGGGCTGCACATTGGACTCATCTGCGGAGCTTTTATTTATTGTGTTCATTTATTTTTTGGTGATTTTGCTATAGGACGCATACATTCACCAGAGAGACTGAGCCAGAAAGTGAGAAATCACCCGCCAAGGGGATGGCTACACCGCAGTCCCTTCTCCTCCACGCTCCTCTTGGGATTTTGGGCATGCATCCATGCCCAGTGTGGGTCTTAAGCCGCCAGGTCTGACTGGAACAGCGGCCGGCCATGTGGGAGTCCAGCGACGTAACCACTATGCTCTCTGCTGGGCCTACCTGGGGAGCTTTGAAACTTGGATGCCTGGACACTGCCCAGGCCAGCTACATCAGAATAGTGATTTTGACTGGTATAGAGGTGGGGGTACTGCGAGACACCTACAGTGCACAGGGTGCCCTCAGTGGAACTTCCGTTAGTATCAGGTTCAGAGACTCCACGGGTTATCTGGAGTGTAACCGGCAGCACAGTCTCTGTTTCCAGGACGTTGTGGTGGAAAGCCAAGGCCAAGGTTCAGCCTCCGTCCTAGACGAGGTTTACCTCCCAGAGTGGGACCCTCACACCAGCAGTGCGTGCAGTCTGAGAGCTAGGTAGGTAGGAGAGCAGATGCTCGGGCCATCCCACACCTACTGAAGCAGAGCTGCAGCTTATCAAGCCCCTCTGAGTTACAGGAAATAAGAGTGTACAAAGCTCTGGTTCTGAGGCTCCCTGTCAGCTCAGACATTTTGGAATTTGTCTTAAGCTGAAAATAGATAATGTCCTTGAGATATATTTAGTATCACAGAGATTATTAGCATAGATTTTTTCTGGTTGGAATAGTTCCTCCTGGGGCTGTGTTTAATAACTGGCTTCTGGGGTCAGTCTGTGGTGTGGTAGTTAAGGCGGCTGGATCTGACATGGCCGGCTGTGCAGTTTGAGTCTGGAACCTCGTAGCTTGAGAAACGCAGGCACGTGTGCCTAGAATCCTGAGAGGAGAATGGAGGAGAAGGGATTGTGGCATGGCCAACCCCTTTGGGGGTGCTTTCTCGCTCTCTGACTCTTGGGTGAGCACACATACCCTGTAGCAAAAGTCTCTCTTAATTAAAAAAGAAAGTATGTCTGGTGCTAAATGTATCTTAATCTTATTTCTGTCCTTAAAACATACCTCAAGACAGGTGTCAGTATCATGTTTCTTACAGGTGAAGAATCCTAGGCTCAGAGTTTCTCTAACTTACCTCGTTATTAGTAGTGGAATTGGGATGTGAACCCAGATACTTGGGTTCAGAGCCCATGTTCTTTTTTTTTTTTCTCTTCAGTTTTTGCTGTAGGGTACACGTGCTCATAGGAGAGAGACAGAGAGAGAGAGAAATCACCCCTGTGGGGGATGGCCATGCTGAAATCCCTTTTCCGTTCATTCTTCTGTCAGGATTTTGGGCATGCACACACACACATCTGACATGTTTTTCAAGCCACAAGCCACTGGGTCTGGGATTCAGCTGCGCACTTGGCCACGTGGGATCCAGCTTCTTTAACCACCATGCCACTGGCTGGCCCCTGAACCCCCACTCTTAACCGTTCCTTCAGTCAGGAAAGGCAGCTTGTTTATGTGGTCCTGAGCTCTCTCTGTTCTTATATGCTGCACTTAGGATCTGCAGAATATCTGGATTATCTGTGTTCTGTATTAGTCTCTGCCATTTCTTATAAGTTTGGGTGGGTGACAGATTGGCTCTGCAGCCCAGTGATTAAAGAAGCCAGATCCCACATAGCCAACCAAGGTAAAATCCTAGCCCTGGGGCCGGCAGGTGTCGTGGTGGTTAAAGGCGTGTACTCCTATGTTGCCGATTGTGGTTTAAGTCCTAGACCTGGTGGCTTGTTTTCTCACTTCCCCTCTCTCTTTTTAAAAAATAATTATTTATTTTAATTTATTTATGTTTATTATATTTTAATTTGACCAGAGAGAAACAGAGAGAGAGAGAAAGAGAAAGGGAAAGTGAGAAAGCAAACCACCAGGTCTGGGACTTGAACCAGTCAGCCATGTGGGAATCCAGTGCCCCAACCACTGCGCCACCTGCTGGCCCCAAATAAAATGTTTTTTGTTTTTTTTTTTTTAAATCTTAGCTTGGAGACTTGAAAACCATACTAGGCACTTATATGTGTATGCCCCAAACCCAACAGAATGGAGAGATTGAAGAGAAGGGATTACGTGTGACCAAATTCCACATGGGAGGCTTTCCCATTCTTGTCTTTCCCTGTCACTGTGTTTCTTTCTCCCAAATATACGTGTCCTCTGGCAATTAAAAAAACAAAGAAATCTTGGGAACCAGCAGTTAGCATAATGGCTATGTCGTTGGACTCCCACGTAGTCGACTGTGGTTTGCATCCCAGACCCGGTGGCTTAAAACTCATGCCGGGCATGTGTGTGTGTGTGCCCAAGATCCCGAGAGGAGAATGGAGAAGAAGGGATTGCGGCGTGACCATCCCCCCTGGGGGGTGATTTCTCACTTTCTGTCTCTACGTCTCTCTCTGTCTGGCGAGCGCACGCGCCCTATAGCGAAAAACCTCTCCAAAAAAAAAAAGAAAGAAAGAAAAAAAACAAAAACAAAAACAGAAACCTGGATGGGCGAGGCAGGCGGGTTGTCAGGAGTGCTTCTGCCTTAATTCAGAAACCTCTTTCCCGTGCTCGTGGAAGCATGAAGTGAGTTAGGCTTTGCTGTTTCTGTAGCCCTCGTTGTGCAGGCTCAGGACTCAGGTTAGCACAGTGGACAGTGTCCACCAAGGACTCTCTCTTGACCACGTCTTCTGTCCTTTGGGGTGCAGTGTGGAGGTGGGAATGTCCACTGTGAGTTCTAGGCGTTGGCACCGTGCACCTCCCAAGTCAGTGCCTCATCCGTCCTTGCTGGACAGGGAGGAGGCCTTTCAGGTGAGGAGTAGAGGGCTTCTTCTTTCTCCTCATTAGTGTCCACCTAAATTCCTCTTTTCAAAAAAATTTGTGCTCACCAAAGACAGTCTGACAGAGAAAAAGAGAGAAAGTAAGAAAGCACTCCCCGTGGCGACTAGTCAGGCCACAACCCCTTCTCCTCCAGCTCTCCCCGTTTTCGGGATTTTGGGTGAACACACACATGTGCCTGGTGTGTTTCTCAAGCTGCCGGGACCAGGACTTAAACTGTGTGATCAGCCCTGCTGATCCGGCTGCCTTAGCTGCCACGGCACAGGCTGGCCCCTCCTGAATTCCTTTTAAAGGGGTACACAGGTGCCCGTGACTCCACTGCTACCGAACCCTCGACAGGGATCGAGTTGCTCTGTTTCCGAGTCGCGTCCAGCAGAGGGCACGCAGCCTCTTCATCTCCGACTCTCAGCTGCGACCCCTTTCTCCTGTACCCTTTGGCTTGAGAGCGCAGACTGACAGCCTTTGTACCTCGCACAGGGGACCGGCAAGTGGTATGAATTACAGGACCTCCAGGTGACCGACATCCTTCCCCAGATGATCACCCTGTCGGAGGCGTACATTCAGGTGGGTGGAACCTGACTTGTGGAGCGCCAAGTAGGTGGGGTGGGGACTCCCCATGAGAACCGGGTTGAGCGAGAACCGGATGGGAGGGCCAGGTGCTGGCTGGAGAGGCTGAGCAGAGCGGTCAGGCCAGAGGGTTCTGTCCTGAACGTCAGGCAGAGGTATTCAGTGAAGAAGAGGGGCAGGGGCGCATGGCAGTTTATGAGTGGGCCGAGAAGGTGTTGTAAGGCTGGGAGGGCTTTGCAGAAGCGTGTGGTCAGCTGTCAGGGAGGAAGGCCTGGACTCATTAGGGAGCTGGCTCGAAGCCATCCCCTAAGCTTTCCCCAGCACCCTGTCAGTTTTCTCTCTCCTTTGTGGTTCCTCAGCACTGTGGTGCATCTTTTTGGAGTGCAGACCTTATTAATTTGACTGCCTTCTCCATTGGATCAAGACTGTGCTCTTCTGGAGCTTTTTGTAACTGCCCAGTACCCGGAAGGAGCAGGAAGCTTGGGACTAAGAAGAACCAGGGCTTTGCAAAAGAGAGGGGGTTACCACTCCTTCCAGAGATCGCTCTTCCCTCCTCAGGGACTTTGTCCAAGGCTGCAGACATGGCCATGTGCCCCCTTTTTATAAAGGGGGGCTTATAATGGATAGGAAGGAAGGAAGAGGATGACTGGAAAAGTGGAAATTGAAGGTTCTGAAGGACTGTGCGTCGTCCTCGGGGGCAAGTAGCCAATGTGTAAGTAGGGTGACAGGTGGCAGGTCACCCACAGCCTGACGTAGAATAGGTACTTGGTAAGTGTCTGCTGACGGAGCGTGTCCTTGAGCAGCTCTCCAACATCTGTTCTCATTTCTTTTAGATTTGGAAGAGGCGAGATAATGATGAAACCAACCAGCAGGGGGCCTGAAAGAGGCTTCTAGGGCTTTCACTGAAGATGGCAAATATGGATACTGGAGCTGTAGCTGAACGCGGTTGGCAGCGTCCTGGGGCCAGCCTGGCCTTTGTGGGTTCTGGCCACATCGGAGCACCGGCGGGGCCTGCCTGCCAGGGAGGGCTCTGCACTGTCACCCAGCTGTCCTTCGATGTGCCTCTGTCCTTCCTGTCTAGTCCCTTCTAGCTTCAGCAGAGCAGAGCTTCTGAAAATGTATGTAATTTATTTCGAGTAGCTGGGAGTACCTGAAGGACAGATGAATTCTTCCAGGAATAAGCACGAAGCCAGGAACACCCTTCTGTCTAAGTCGGTGATTTTCTTACAGTCCCCTTCGTTTCCTCATGTGTTTTTTGGAATGGATTAAATATTTTCCCATTTTTATAGCAGCCTCTTGTTTTATTTCCTTCCCTTAGGCTGTTGGCAGAGGGAAAGACTCATTTTTCTTTTTAATCTTCCCAAATTATCTGCCCTATAGTCTCGTCTGGTGGACAGGATTCTTGGCTCTTCCTGTCAGCTTGTGGGTAGTGTGTCAGTTAAGACGCATTCACCTCAGGGCTGGCAGATGGCGTGGTGGTTAAGGTGCTCGATTCCCACATGGCCGACTGTGGTTTGAGTCCTGGACCTGGTGCCTTGCTT